TTTTTTTATAACTTTTCAAAAATAGCCAGGTAGGAATGGGACCCCCTAGGGCCCTCTGAACCCTCACTCCAGCCAGCACGCAGGCCTGGCCTGTGTGTGGAACTTCCTCTGTCAGAGAGGCCAGGTGTGGAACCTTGAGGCAGAACTCCCTGCAGAGAGGCTAAAGGCAAGATCTTGCTAAGGCAAGATCCAGGAGCAGAACATCTTGACAGTGGCACAGTAGGTTTGCTTCCAAGGGCTACAGCAGGAAGAAGTGGAGCACAGCAGCCAGACCCAAGCCACCTGGATGAATTTGAACTTGGTAGATCCGGACCTGATTATAAGGTAATAACTCTACCAAAGCTCTACATCAAAGGTCAGAAGACAGTGCTACACAAACTGACAAAGAGAAGGAGCAAAACACATTCTCAGGCCCAGGGTTCACCTAGTACAAATGCAGGAGAAACAGCATAGAAGAAACTGGAAATCACACACCTGAAACCTCTGAAATAATAGCATCTGAAGTAAAGAAACAACTTCAGAAAGGTATGGAGCATATCAGATCAGAAATAATTTCTGGGGGCCAGGGAGATAGCTCAGTAGAATAAGCATTTGCCTGGCAAGCACAAGGGCCTGAGTTCAATCCCCGGTTCTGAAGTAAAATAAAGAAATGATAACTATAATGAAAAAAGTACTAAGTGCTTCTAAAGAAGACATTGATAAAAAAAAAAAGAGAATAGAAAAATGATGGGATCTTTGAATGAGCAATATAGGAAAGAAATAGAATGCATGAAGCAAATTCAAAGTGATATATAGAAAATTAAAGCCTCAATCATAAGCTGGCAAAATCATTTGAATGAAAGTGAAAATAGACTTTCAGACATTGAAGAAAACATTGCAGCTAGTGAAAAGGTAAAAAAAAAGATGTCTTAAAAACAACTAGACTGCAGGAAAAAATAATTCAACCTCTGCAAGACAATGCAAAGGTGAACAACGTAAGACTAATAGGCATCAATGAGAAAGAAGGAGTCAATACAAATGATATAAAAAGAATATGGTCAGGAATAATAACAGAAAACCTCCCAAATATGGGAAACAATCTGACATTCAGATAACCAAAGTATATAGGACTCCAAATTAAATTAACCCAATTAAAACCACACCCAGACATATAATAATCAAGATTCCAGAAATTCATCACAGGAACAATATACTAAAAGCCACTAGAGAAAAGAAACAGATCACATTTAAAGGAAAACCCATGAAAATAATGGCAGATTTCTCTTTTTAAGTCAAGAAAAGCATGGAGTAAAGTACTTCAAGTCTTACAAGAATACAAATTCAAACCCAGACTGATATACCCTGCGAAACTCAATTTAATGGAGAAGTGAAATACTTCCATGACAAATAACAACTTAAGAATTTCATGACAACAAAGCCAACCATACAGACTACTGAAAGAGATTCTAGAGAGCGACCAAAATGACCACAACTCCATGAATAAGAATGAAAAGAACCTACCAAATAGGGCAAACAATTAAACACAGGAGAAAAGGAGGTATACAATAGCAGTCTTTCAATTATTCTTTTGTATACAGCAGCAAAATATTTCTATCAGCATACTCTACAAATGGAGTTCTCCTGCACCCTATGGGTCATGATTCTGTCCGGGATTACAGGGTGGATATCAAGGAAATAGGAGTAGCTCAGTCGCACAAGTGACACCTGGACACCAGTAAGTGTCATGGACACTGTCCACGTCCACCACATACTAGAACTTTGTGTGATATCCTAACCTCAAACTGTTAGAAATGCTAGTCATATATTTGCCATTCCAGTATTTTTGTTATGGTTTATTCTTAGTAATTCTTTACTACCATGAAAACTTTTCTTAGTTGAGATTTTTGTATATATTAACCCAAGCAAATACTGTGTGAGTACTCTGAACTGATCACAGATTCATACATCTGATACACTATATTTTGGCCTCTTAGTTGGACTCACAATTTAATTTTAATTTTTGAATATGATTTTGAAATATTTAATTTAATTTTGAATTAATCAATATTTAATTAATTTTCTGAATATTATTTAATTTTAATTTTTGTTTTGTGATTTATACTTTTTTGACTTATAATCTCCATATAAGACATGGTATGATATTTTCTCCTAGTATTAGAAACTTTAAAAAGTGCGTTTCCATTTTCCATTGACTTTATATTAGTTCTTCCTTGTCTTTTACACACACACACACACACACACACACACAAACATATATTTATGAAAAAAATATGTATATAACCTGACATAAGATTGATACTGCTTTTTGGAAATCTGCAATGATCTTTTATTTTATTTTTTTATAGTTTTTTAAAGGTTTTTTTCTCTCTCTCTTTTTTGGCCATAATTTTATTGATAAACAAATAGCAATGAGACAGTTTCAAATCAAATCAGTAGGACAGTTTCAATAAATAACACACTGAATACATTCTTCTTAGTGGTTAATTGCTGTACAAGATGTGGACTTGATATCCTATTTACAAACATTGAATGATCTTTTAAATGGTTCGTCTAATTATATTTTACATAGTCTGGCATAACTAACATTTTGAGAGCTCTTTATTCTGTGTCCAGGACCATACAGCTACTTTTCTTGCTTTCTGGATTATGGTCTTTGTTATTTTCTATATGCTATATCTGGAGGTGTTAGAATATTTTGAGTTTGTATAACTGGAAAATATTTTACTTTTAGTTCTCAAAGGTATGTTTGCTATGTATAAAATTCAATGAGGACAGATTTTATTTTTTTCAGTTCTTTGAATAAATAAATCTCATTTCTTACCCACTTGCTCTTTTTTTTTTTTTTCCTAATGTGGAATAAGATGCTATTTGGTTTTGTTCTTCCATAGATAATTTTTTATGTATATGCTTTAATTTTTTTCTTTACATTTAGTTTTGGACATTTTCAGTTTTGTGTATCTTGGTATGATTTTATTCGTATTTCTTATGTAAAAGGTTCATTTCTTTTTGGAAATGTGGTGTTAGAATTTTAACTAAATTCAGAAATTTTAAATCTTTAAATAGTTATTGTCTACCTCCTTCTACTTTGAGAATTCTAATAATATGAATATAAGTTTCTTGATTTTGGCACAGAGAGAACTATTATATGACTGATCTGTAAACTATTTCTTCTTCATGTTTATTTTAGACCATTTTTATTGATATATTCACTTAAGTTTATAAATATTTTTTATAATGTGCAATCTATTAATCTCATTATGTGTTCATTTCAGAGATATTTTTCTAAAATTGTGTCTACATCTTATGTTTCACATTTCAATATTTGTCTACAATTTTTAATTTGCTATATAATTATTATTGCTTTTCAGTGAAG